TTTATTATGTTTTGAATTTATTTTAATGAGTTTGTGTATACTCATTACATATCATTTACAGATGATGTAGCACAAGAAATCGGATTAGGATTGCATTCTTTCGAGCTTAACACTTAGAGAAAACTGTTTGGGAAGCGTGGGTAGTGAACCAGAATACTTGTATAGTTAGTTGAAAGAAAAATATTTTAAAACGAGAATTATATAATTGCGATTCACGATATTGATAGATATATAATAAAGAAAATTTAAATATTGACTAATTAGATTGAGACATTTATTATGTATCGGTTTATATTATTTTGAAAGAATTTAGTTGTGTAATAGTCTATGTCATACCATGCATGCAGATAGGGTTGTCGTAACGTCTTGAAATTATGATCGGGGCATTACAGTTATAATTGAAAATATAATATAAGTTGATACAAATTCAAACGTGGGAGGATAATTTTCTTTAAATTTTTAAGAGTTAACCAAATAGCTATATATATATATATAACTTAAAAATTGTAAAAAATTTAATAATTACTCCCCTAAATTATGGTTAAAAAAAAAATGCCCACTAGAAAATTTTAAATTGGCTGTAAATTATGAGTATCTTTCAAAATATTTACTTTTAAGAACAATAATGGAATCTTAAATTGTTTTTTTTTTTTTGAGAGGGTTGGTAGATTTAGATCTTGAAAGATAGTGTTTTTGAATATTAAATTTTAAAATCACATAGCTAATTATTTAATTTTGTTCTTATTTTAACTTTTTCTCCATTTGAATTTCTTTTTACATCTATATTGATGTTGAGAGCTTGTCTTCACTTCCTCCAAAAAGAGAACTTCTTGTTTTCAAATTTTAAAAAGCAAACAAACCAACATTTGTCCTTTCTTCATAAATTTAAAATAAAATATTTTGTACTTTAAATTCCAATTAATTTTATTTAAAATTTTAATTAATTTGTCTTTTCGTTTAATAAATTTATTTAAAGATTTATGGTTCTTTTAAATTCTTCTCCAATAATAAAATTAATCTACTATAAACATTTAACTGAAATTAGAACAATAATTTTTTTTTTTTAGTATATTAAAAAAAAATTAACTTATTATTTTAAAATTAAGTATGAATTTGTAAATAAATTTATTTTTAACAAAATAATAATGATAGCAACAAGCATCTTTACATAGAAATGGATTTATTCCAGAGTATCCTCAGAGGCCAGAAGTGAGAGATTATTGCTGACAAAGCAGCCTAGCTCATTTTCCATCAAAATTTTGACATCTCTTGTATACTAAATATTGTCTATATATATATATATATATATATATATATATATATATAACATCAAAATATCATACTATCAGGTCTTCACAATATTCTTGAATTACTCTAAAAGGGAAAGATGTTAATAAATACTTTTGAAAAGTAATATCCATGAAATACTTTTTTCTCTTAACAATATAGAAGGGACTGACTGGTAAAGACCAGCAAATAACTGAGTAGCTTGTTCACCTTACTTCTTGCTGGTCTTGATGTTTGGATAGAGTCCCAATATGTGTTCTGGCATGAAATCATGCCTTGTTAGGATTCCAACAATTGGAGGCCTCTGAAAATTGTAGGAAATTCATCATTTGAGAAAACACTTGTAAAGAATCAAAAAATAAAAACTCAAGATCTTATACAGGAGAATTGCAATGAAAACTAGATCATTACCATACTTGCCTTTGTTTCATTTACAGATTCAAGAAAAGAAAATTATTCATAGCACAAACATTCACATGAACTCAAAAATCAAGCCAACAACCAGAACTCATTTGAAATTCTATATGGAAAAGAAGCATGGTCATGGTACTCAAATCTTCTCATAGTTTGCTAAAGCTCTTCTCTGTGCCAAGACAAAAGACGCATTCTTTTTCCATTCATTCCCTCTATCTTAATTATTTGATATGTAAAAATTAGTATTCACTTATATTTTCAATTTTATAACGACAACTTTATAATTATACTTAAAATAAGGAATGACAAAAGTACCTAAACTGAATTATAGATGAAATAAACTTGGAATATGATAATATTTGCACTCAAAATTCTATCACATTTATATTTTGTATTATTCTCCTAAATTATTCCATGCAATTAAAATTTAAATTAAGCTCAACCTAAAAAGATATTTGATTCACTGAATAAGATAATAATATACTAAAATACTCATATGATATAAATGAACTAAACTTGATGCAATTGCAACTAAGTTAGGCTGTTTGATTTATATCCTGTTTCCTTCTCTGTTAAGGAATGCCAGCAAAATGAAGGAAGAGAGACTTACCCCTGGTGTCTTTGGCACCACACACAGGTGCCGAAGGCCAAGTTCCCGGAAAAGAACAGCAGCTTTGGCCAGAGACATTGTTTCCACCACAGTGTATGGAGAGGTATTAGAAACAGGATGGAGATCAACATACATCTCCATCTCCTCCTCATCAATATCCAAATCCTCCAGCTTAACACCTCTACCTAATCCTGCCTTTGCAAAATCATGTGCCTTGAACCTTTTCATAATTTGTGATCCAGTCATCACCCTGTAGCCAGAAAATCTCTTCTCTTTAAGCAACACAAGCAGATGAGACCTCAAAACAAGCCCACACAACTCTGGAGCATCTGAAAAAGGAGGTTCATCAATAACAGGGAATCCATTATGTTTTGTTGTGCTCAAAGCCTGCACTATGGTGCTGACTTTCTCAACCCCAGAAAAGGTCACCAATGGACCAGAAACAACATCACTTGCAATCAAGTGTCTCATGTATGGTTCGGCGTGGGCCTCCATGTATGGTAACCCTTTCATTTTCACAATCTGGTCATAAACACCTTTATTGAAAGTATCAGCCACAGTTTTTGAAATAAGGAGAACCAGCATTACCAAGGGCAACATCAACAGGTCATTAGTAAGTTCAAGAAGTATGACACAAAGAGAAACTGTCATCCTCATCGTGCCACCAAGGAAAGAGGCAGCTCCAAGGAGGGCGAAGAAACCACCGTCTAGACCAGAAAGAGAACCAAGCACATTCCCGACAAGTCGTCCATAAGAGGCTCCAGCAAGAATGACAGGAATGAAGAGTCCTGAGGGAACAGCTATGCCATATGTGACAATGCCAAGGGAGTATATTGCACCAAAGAAGACTAAAAGGGTAGACAGGCGAAAATGCTTATCAGAGCCAGAGGCAAATAAATTGCGGATTGCGTCATCATTAGTATTGAAAAGTAGGGAGGCAAGGTCATTGTAATGGTTTGGTGGACACTGGAAACTCTTGTAATTTCCAGATCGACCTTCAGTTGGACATTGTTCTTTCAGGTGAGGAGGACAAGGAATACACTGTGAAAGCCATGGGAGGCCAAAGGAACAACAAGAGGTCAGAAGGGAAATAATCATGACAAGCAGGACTTTATATGATGGACCCTTCCTGCACCATTTATTATTAACAATCAGAAACAAGAAAAATAAAAATTGTCAAAAACAATCTTGAATTCAATCATTAAAGATACATTCAGCAAGTGTTTTCTGGGAAGAAAAGATCAAGAAACTGTCTAAGAATCAACATAGAGGGCTGAAAAGATTAAGAAAACTTATAAAATGACATGAAATTTCTATGACATACTCATTAATGATGCTATAGGTACGAAGAACCTTATCCACAAGAAAATTGTAGAGGCTTCCCAAAATGCCCCCAATAACTCCAAGGAAAATAACTGCAAGAAGATCCTCGGTGTTATAAGTGGCAGTCGCTGTATTGACATCAAACATGATCAGACCTCCCTGTCCAAACAGCCCACATTTTCCACTTCTGCAGAATTCTATCAAAGCTCTCAACACCACAGCAACAACAGCTGTAGTGAAAAATGTCCTCCAAAGCAAAGCACTTCTCCACCTGTATAGTTTCAACGAACATGACACAATTTGCAAAGTTTATAATTAAAAAATAATAGAATCACAAGAATCTCTATAAACAAGAAATGAACAAATCTGCAAGTGATAAAACAATTCCCTAGGTTTCAAACTTCTCGAGTCTCGAAACAGATATCAACATGGGTTTTGGACAAATTTACAATTCTGCAAGCAGGTCACCTATTCCAAATGAAAAATACTGTTTTCCTTTTCTTGTATTCCAGGAAAGCTAGCAATTCTGTCCCGGTTGTGTAACCACGTCTTGTTAGCTTAAGGTGTTTATTTAGTGAATAAACTCTCAAACCCAAACTTGGGCTGTTCAAAAATCATGTCATCCCGGGGTCAAAGCCAATCTGTTGTATAAATGGCTTATTTGTTAAACTCATCTAACCCCATTTATCTAACAAGGTATATTGAATAAGTCAAAATTAAGTTGATAAGTTTGACTTATTTACAGTAAATCAGGTCATATCAGTTCTCTCAGTCCAAACTGTAATTGGTAACATTTCACCAATTAACATTTGGAAGTTCTGAAAATAGTATTTTAAGAACATCATAAGACCATTATAAGAAAATTATAACATAATCGCCCAAAGAAAAATTTCAAACACGATATACAATTCAAAGAAGAATAAATTACTGTACTAATAGACATAGAATTAGTTCATAGACATTAATATTATTATTTATTTTCTCATCATCATAGTAATAAGGTGGTTGCTAATAAATAAACACGTCTAAACAAATCACAATTTATTTTGTCATCATTATCCCAATCTAGTTGGTCTCAATTTCTTATGAGCAGCTATGTGGCTAAACGGCTTGAGCAGATTCAATGTCATTTCTCTTGGAAGCTTCTGAAGAGCAAAGATAGTTCCATATGTGAACTGGAATCCAGTAAAAATTTCCATCTTTGCAGTGTGGCTTAGAATTAGTCTCTATCTCCGTCTAACAAGGGAATCTTGGCTAAATGGATGTAGAAGTTTGGGCAGCCTTTGGTGAAAGGTTATCCAGTCCAAATACAGGATAATGAGTGGTAATTGGAAAAGAACGGTGCCTTTTTGTCTATTTCAAGACTAAAGATGGTACTGAAAATTCCCGACTTTGAACTAGAGGATCACGATTGAGAGCGGGGAAGACCAGTGCATCCTTGACTAATGGTGGAAGACTTGAGTCTTCCGGATCCCAAGGGAGGAAAGAATAATAGAGGAAGACTGGAAACTAGGGATAATAGAGAAGGAAAGCCTTCGGCTGGCAAGGAAGCAAGAAGAGGCAGTGCCAATGCTGGAGTAAGTGAGTTTGATGAGGAACCTCAATAATTGGGAAGTAAGTGAGTTTGAGTACCTTATTAATCCAACATCCATAGTCTATCTGAATAAGAGCAATGATCAACTAATCTGGAGTATAGGAGTTGAGCATATTTACATGATAAAATCTTTCTGCAGTTACTTACTTAAAAATGACTCATATGAGATTAGCTTTCCGTACAAGCAAATTTGAAAGGTGAGCGCTCTACTAGAATAGCCTTTTTCGCTTGGGAGGCTGCAAGAGGATATATACTTACTATTGACAAGTTACAGATAAAGGGAAAGATTTTGGTAAATGGATTCTTCCTATGCAAGGGTGGGAAAAAGAGTCTTATAATCATATATTGTTGTGGTGTCCATCGGTATATAAGTTATGGGCCAGGGTATATAGGTTACTGGGAATCAGTTGGGTCATGGCAAGTAATATAAGGGATGAGATTTGAGTGTGGAAGGGTATTGGCGGTGAAAAAAGTATGTGGGTCTCATTCCCCTTGCAATTTTTTGGGTTTTTTGTGAAGAAAGAAATAAGAGAGCTTTTGAAGGGGTAAAAGCTAACTTTGATAGGGTTAGGGATAGATAGTTCCAAACCATAGAATTATTAATTACTGATCATTTTATGCATACTAGGGAAGAGTCTCAGAATCTTATAGGTATGCTGATTGAAGTGTAAATAATTTTGTACATGGATTGACACCCCTTGGTGCTTGTAAATGATAAATACCATATTTTATTTCAGAAAAAAGAACAGCTTATTTCCAAGCTCATTCAGAATCAAAACACTATAAGTGTCTATTTTTCAAAATTGAAAGTCTTGTTTAATGAACTATTGAATTATGAATCAATCCCAAATTATACATGTGGATGACTGAAGTCGATAGTTGAATATCAACAAATGGATTGGGTTATGAAGTCCCTCATGGAGTTAGACAAGTCCGACAAGGCTATTAAAGCACATAATATTAATCAAGCCATTTTCCTGTCTGAATATATTCAATCATCCAACAAGAAGAAAAGCCTAAAAGAATATCGTTGGACAACAAAGGGAACAGAAACTAGGCTTAGTGTCAGAGAGTTGAACAGGTGTCCAAGGGAAGTAATGCAAGTCGAGAGAAGTACTATTGCTCTCATAGTAAGGCTGCAGGCAACACAATTGAACATAATTCAAATTTAATATGGGAAGACAGGCATCCTCTTACTATAACCTACTAAGTCAATATTGTTGATGCTTGCTACAGATTATGGGTACCTTAAGGGACATAGGTTGCATGGAAATGGTGAGGTGTCAATTGCCAACCAAGTTTCTACATCTTCCACCTAGGAATAGAAAAATGTAGAAAAATAATCACCCATTACACAGGAGCAGTATGAACAGTTAATGACACTTCTGCAACAAAACCATTCATCGGTAAACACAGTACATCATCTGCTACTCTTCCTCAGGAGCAGAGAGTGTCTCTGGTTTATGTGGTATGTACCTATGTCTCTACTTATTCAATGGAATCCAAAATTCACATAAATGTGCCCTGGATTATAGATACTAATGCATTAGATCACATTATATCCACACCCACTCAATATTTGAGTATCACAGAGAACTTATTCTCTGGATTTGTCCTGCCTAATGGTGACAAAATTGATGTGTTCCATGTTGTAACAGTGAAGATTTCAGATGAACTAATTCTTCATAATGTCTTATTTGTTCCATGTTTTAACTATAATATTATATCTGCAAAAAGACTAACACAGGATTGACGGTGTTGCCTCATATTCTCACAAGAATTTTGTGTAATACAAGGCCTTTTGCCTTGGAGGACAATTAGAATTGGTGAAATCAAATATGGTCTGCACCACCTACAGTAACGCAAAATGCCAATTTCCCATAATAGCAAGGTGTTGTTTGCAACAGTTCCTTTCGGCAGCAATCAAGGTGAAGTTTTTGTGTTTAGCATTATCGTCTGGGTTGTTCCTCATTACCTGTATCTACAATTATGACAAATGTTTTGACAGAATAAAGAAATAAACCTTGTTTTATTTGTCCACTTGCTAAACTGCATAAACTCTATTCCAATAGGAAACATAGAAGCAAACATTGTTTCGAATTAATACATTGTGATATCTGGGAACCATGTAGTGAGGTCTCTTATGATGGATACTGTTATATTCTTACCATTCTAGACGATTTTCATAGATGCACTTGGTTTCATTTACTCAAATGTAAATCAAAAGCAGGACCTACCCTACAGAATTTCTATAGTTTTGTGCAAACACAATTTGGGACAGGAATCAAAGTCATATAAAGTGTCAAGGGAAGGAGTTCGAGATGAAAGAATTCTATTTGGAGCAAGGGATGGTTCACCAGAGAAGATGTGTTGAGACACCAAAGCATAATGGAAGAGTAGAAAGGAAACATCAACACATTCTGAATATTATCAGAGCTCTAAAGTTTCAAAATGGACTCAAAACTAAGTATTGGAGCTATTTCATCTTAACAGCAGTATATTTGATCAATAGAACGCCTTCATCAGCTATTGATCACAAAACTCCTTTTGAGATACTGTTACACAGCAGGCCAACATGCAATCACTTGAGGGTTTTTAGGTGTTTGGCCTTTGTCTCTACTGCAAATCAATAATAGACAGAAATTTGATCCTTAAGGCAAGAAAGTGCATTTTCTTGGGATATCTCTTTAGAACTAAGGGATATAAACTTCTGGATTTGGAGACAGATGAAGTTTTTATCTCAAGAAATGTGATTTTCCATGAGAATGTATTCCTATAAAGTTCACACCTGACAAGACCGCCATCTCTGATTTACCTAACTAGCAGTGGCCTGTGATTACCTAGAGCCAAATAACAGAAAAGAATGATAGAGAAGTCATTACCATGAAGCTGCTTCTTCAAGGGCAAAGAGCACTCCACCAACTGGCGCTCGGAAAGCAGCTGCTACACCAGCAGCAGCTCCACATGTGATCAAATCCCGCCTGTCCCGATCATTTTTGAAGTATCTAAGCCATCTCCAAGTCAAACGATATTTTCGGGAACCACCCTGCCCTAGCAGATTGGCAATGCAAGCACCTGTGTGGACCATAGGCCCCTCTTTCCCCACAACAAATCCAGCAGAAACCCCTAAAATGGAGCCAAAAATCTGCCAAATTTGGACATAATATACAAACAAAATTACAATTAGTGACAGGAATTAGAAATCTCTGTTGTGATCAATGGCAACAGAAGAGCCCATGAGATTGAAAATTTTATAGCCTAAAAGGCACGAGCTGTCTTATAAATTGCTAGATTTTCCAGTGTCATTCCAGGTACTGTTCCTCACCTTTACAAAGAGTGTACTTGGAGCCAAAATTGAATAAGCATCTATACCATTGAGGTAAGCTTTCACCTCTGGTATCCCAGAGCCTGCTGCTGCAGGAGCAATGAAAGCACAGAGAGCTCCAGCGGCGATTGCCAAAATAAGATTGCAGCCAGCAAATGCAGCAAATGCCTGGTAATATCTGCACTGGAATAAGAATCCTTTCACAGTTTCTCCAACGTGTAAAAATTTTTCCTCCTAAACTACATGCTGCAGGTTTTTGAAACTGGGTGATGATTACAGTGTCTAAAAGCTACAGTCTGGCACTTCAATGTGACACTTGTAGTGAATATATTCAGGCAACATACACTCATATATTAAAGTAAAAAGGCGAGAAAGAGAGTAAACAAAGAGAATTTTAGATGGTTCTACAACATGCCTACCTTCATGGAATCACTTACCATTTGTTGCTAAGATAGTGAATTTAAAAGAAAACTTAAAATTAAAGAATGCCAAAACAATCGCCTAGGCCAAATACAACCATATCATCATCACTTTGGCCACAAATTAACAGTACTATGATCAAGAAATAACAGGTTGAATAACCAAAAAAAACGATACCAGGCCAATTTCAACTGTACCATAATCTCTCTAGCCACATATTAACAATACTACGATCTAGAGAAAATGGGTAGCAATCTAAAATGCAAAGACATCACCAAATATGCCTAAATAATATCTACAGTGGATTTCAGATGCTCGGTTGGTGCACTATTTGCAATATGATTTTTCCTTTTGAAGTTACTTCTGAATGCAGCAGAAAGCAATGCAACCAAAAAATTAAGTCAAGGCTATGGGAGAGAGCTCATGCGCTGAAAGCTGAAGAAGACCCGCATGGACATCATTTTCATTTTTCTAGTTGACATGCTTGACTACCCTCTTCAGAAGTCATGGATAATATCCGCCATCTACAGTATCCTAGATGGTATTTTACAAACTAAACAAGGTGAAAGAGCAATGCAAATGTACCCTATATCCTGCAATGACTTCTAAAAGAAACTGGCGGAACACAAAGTAATACTTCAGATGATGCCCTAAAGGATGCAGTATATTACACAGCATGTAAAGAAAAGAGTAGCCTTTAGTTTGGGTATCATATTGCTCAAGATTACTATTTGTAAGTAACTATTCTCTTGATGTGGGAAAAGTAGAAGTAAAGTTGAAATTAAGGATTTGTTTTAAAAAATGAACTGTATTTCATTTTAGTTGAAAATGAATTGAAAGAGGAATTCATTTGCAACTGAGTTTTGATATTTTGATAATATGGTGTATCAGTTCAATTTGCAACCAAACAATGGGTTGAATAACTTAATTGGTTGATGAAGTGATTGCAAAATGAACTCAGAATCTAAAATAATCTTAAAGGGCTGTCTTTAGGCTTACTTGTCATTAAGCATGAGATAATTTGTTAGCAGAAGTTTAAATCCAGCAATATTCTCAACAGCAATATTATTGAAAAACCCAACAAGGCCTGTCGCCAAGCCTATTAGGAGAGCAAGCGTCCACTTGAGAACAACATACTGAAATATCTCAACCTTCCTTCTAGACCTCCAGTCCTGCTTAAAAAGATCATTCTCAATAATCCTGCAAGAATAGACGGGAACCGATTATTAGAATCATTGAATCAACCCATATTTATCATAAAAAAGGAGAAAAAAAATCTGGCTTGGCCTTCATTACATTCTCTTTTTTCCATCATCATTTCACTAAACAAGAAATTTGATGCTATGTGCAGATTGATCATACAATTCAAATTCGATTCGTTTTCCCAGGAACGAAACACAAGTAAATGGAATTAGAAACGATCTTACTCATAGTCAAGGCTCTCAATGGGGCAGGTATTGGCGCCTACTATCGCAATCTGAGATGTGGTATTCGTTCTGTTCTTAACCAGCAACGGTTGTCTGACCGTTGACCCGAATTCCTTGTCATCTACGTTTTCTGGTTCACACTCCTTCTCTATATCATCCTCCTCCCTCCGATCCATCTCTCTATCTCAAACACAAATGTCCTTAACCGCTATTCTCGATTGATCTCCGCCTTTTCTTTCCCCAAAAAACGCACCTCCCAAACACAAATCAACAATTGTCGACTCTATCTTCGCCTTTCTCCCATGAAATCTGTCTCTCTAGATTCCTCTCTTCCCCAAATTTCTGTCCCTAAATATTCTGAAAACAGTTCTGTTCCATCTCTAGTCTGAACAAACCAGAGTCTTAAATCTCCATTCCTCGGATTTTCTCCTTTTTTTAACTCTCCCCAAACAACTCACGTAACCACGAGAGTCTCGCACTTTTTATATCGACGACGTGACTTTTTTCCCTCGCAAAATCTAAAATAAATAAATAAACTAATTACATTTATTTAATATCCATTTTCTTAAACCATTTTTATAAAGGATATTTTGTCTTTTTAATGGTGTGGAAAAAAAAAAGAAACACGATTAATCCATGTCAATCCGTACCCCCGTATGAATAATAATAGCCCAAGTGCTCAAAATGGTTAAGATTTTGATAGTTTCGAGAAATTTTATTTTTCTGATAATATTTTTAATTCATAAATTAAAACAATTTTTATTTAAATTAATTCGTATCTAATTTTTATAATGTTAAAAAAAAATAGATATAAATTTTAACGCTTAAATAATTTAGAATATATTTAATTTATACATAAATTAATAAGAAAATATTATTATTATTTTGTTAAAATTAACAAGTTATATTTGGAAATTAAATTAAATTAAATATTTTTTAAAATTAAAAAAATTATTTAGCTAAAATAAATAAATTAATAATAAATAATAAATGGGTAAAACACATGGTCAAACTTTCCTTACATGGTATTGTCATGTGGGTCATTAAATAAATATGAAGATAAGACAATTCCTTTCATTAATTGTGCATTGCCATCTCATAGACCAACAAAATTAAATAAAAAATTAAACAAAAACATATTTCTCTTCATAAAACCAAAACCAAAAAAAAACAAAAGGGAAAGTTATCTCCAATCTCGCCATAAGCTTTATATATGAAAAATATTCAAATACTATACAAAAT